TTTTGCTTCTGTTATGGCGTTTGAGTGGATTTGTCCGAGTTCGTCAGTGGCATGTGCTTGATTTTCGTCAAATTAGGGATTAAAATGGAATAGTATTTGGATTAGATTTGCGAAATTGAAATTCAGCTCGTTCGGATCCTGCTTGGCGACGGGTCAAAGTCAAATACGAAACTGATACTACTGATACACCGGGATGTATATAGTTGCCTGATGGGTTTCTGACTGAGGGCTTCCTGTTACAAGATTAGCACATTGACAGTTCGCTTGTGTTGATTTCCATGTTGTGTATTGATGTATGTTGATAGTTTTTGCTGCATAGGTTTCACTTAAGCTCTGTCGTCTTTCACTGAGTACGAGTCTAGGAGCTATGCACTTCGAATCATGTAGCAACCTGTCTCGATTCAGATGTGTGTTCAGCGTTCTTTTGATATAAATTCGATTCTGGAGTGTTGCTGGATTTGGCCACGAATCTCTTGTATGGAACCGATTTGAATCTTACGTTTTGTTTTTGTCAGGTCACGTCACATTTGCTGGAATCTAACTTTGGTTTAATGATTGCGTTTTGGGAGGAATTCTAGTTTCTTTGCGGATATAATGAGCCGATGAAAGACCGATGGAATCTGAGTTTTGCTTGGGCAGGACACGTTTCTTTTTGTTGACTGGGGTCCACCTTATGTGGGGCCCAGCCAGTAAAAAAAAAAAAAGCAACAAAAAGAACAAAAAGAAAAGGGGCAGCCACGTGCGGTCATGGAGCCCACAGATAAGAAAGAGAGCACCGAGAGCGAGAGAACAGGGGAGAAGAAAAGGAGCGCGTCTTCGCGGTCCCGATTCGAGCGTCAAACATTGTCGGAATTAGCTCAAATTTTAGTATGTTGTTCATGAGACCGAGGGCTACGATTTGATCAGTTTCGTTCGTTGAGAATCTTCTCCGAACTCTTCAATCACGGCTAGGATTTTATTCTCCGTTTTGTGTAAATCCACCTTTGTGGTGATGGAATAATGTCAAAATGTTGATGTTGTACCTCTAGTGTGTGACTAGAGAGGAAACTAGCGTGTATCCTACTATTCTTGGTGATTAGTGGAAGTTTTATGTGTGGGGCGGTCACTGGTTTTTTCCCTCATTGGGTTTCCACGTTAAATCTCGGTGTCGTTGCATTCGTTTTCTTATTATTGCGCGATTATATTGCTGGAATATCATTGGTTGTTGTTGGAATTAAGTCGATTTCGATCGGTTTAGTTTTGGGGGAGATATTGATCCTGGATTGATTGAGTTCTTAGTGAATTGTTGCCCGCAGTTCTCCCCAACACTATTGAGGAAACCAATCTTGAAATTTTTTTGTACTTTGAAGATCGCAAGTCCCATATGTAAAGTGTCTTTTCATACACGGTGAAAATAAAGGCAAGCCTGCGAGTGTCGAGTGGTTCCCATGCATAAAGATGCTTCTTTCAGCAATGCATTTACAGGTTCTTCTTGGGTCCGTATGCGTTAACACATCTTCGAGATAAATATTGACTTTCCTGTTTTATGCGTCTCTGAACACAATAGAGAAGATACCAACAATGGTGTTCAGTTTTGCTTTCGAAGCTAAAGTTGTTAGTTGGCATGTCTTTGTCGTGAACCAGTAAAGATTGTTATCCTGTTCAATATGGAGAAGACCACATAGTGTCTTGAACTTAGCTTTTGGCTTTGGCTAGGTAAATATATCTCACTTGGTCTTTGGAGTTTGGACTGCCGACATTTTACTTCAATTTCAGCATCGTTGCACCTATTTGTCCATCTTCTTCACTGATCCACAGAGTCATTTAAACTGCTTCTTTCAGGGAGCTCCTGGGGCTCTCTCTTTCTTCTTTATGTCTTTACTCAAGTTGCACGAGCCATAGTTGTGGTTACTTTTATCCTCTCATACAGTATTTTGGATATGGTTTGAGCTGGAAAGAAGCTGTCATTGTCTTTTGGTCTGGTCTGGGAGGAGCGGTTGCATTATCAATGACCCTATCGATCAAAATAAAAAAAAATTTAACCCCATTTGGAGTCATCAGTAGACTAATTTGTGCGTCATCTGGAATGTCCATTACACGATTCTCTGTTCTCCAGAATTGTATACTGTGATGTGCTAGTGCATCAATAATCTAGAAGCTTTATGTTCTCTAGTCAACCGGGATGTCAAAGTGCGGTTAGTGGAAACATGAATGAACTTCATGTTGCCTCATTACTACATTCATTTGGCTACTGGCGTTCTTCTGTCTCGCTAGGTTAAGGTGCTTTGATGAGCGTAGCACAGCTGACTGTGAGGAATAGATTCCTTTTCCTCCTATTTCTATGTGAACTTAATCACCAGATACAGATGAGTCACAAAGTCGAGGGTTATTAGCTTAGATTAGCACAAACTGAAAAAAGATCTCGAATATTAATTATCGTAATTCATGTTAAATTTGGGACAGTGCAGTTACACCTCAAAAACTATCTTCACATAGATATCTAATTATATGATAGTCTGTGGCTTAATGATTAAGTACGAACAAGGTGAGGGATATTATTGTGAAAAAGATGAAGGATTTGTCTGGATTGAACGCTAGCAAACCAGAGACGTGCAAAACAAGAAAAATGGGAGCTGTCAGAGAATCGAAAAAGGAGTTTTATGTTGGAGTGGGGGTCTATAGTCTATGTTTACTTTTCATTCATGAATCAACGTTGTCAAATTATAGATATAAACTTGTAATAGCCTCCATCACGCCAGAGGATGGGGCGCCACCGCCCCCGGAATTCACTGGTGAGGGCCGGCAACTCTAGCCCAGATCGGGGTGAGGGATTGCAGGCCCTCCCTATATCATGCTGTGAACGAGGGCCAGCAAGTGACAAGGGCCAGCCGCCCTCGCCTACTCGCCGACCGTCGCCGACACCCGGATGAGGGTTGCCAGCGATGCCAAAGCAGAACAACCAATAGTCTTCCTTATTTAATTTTTTAAAATTTTTAGCTTTTTTGTGTTTTAATTCTTATTTTTTTTTCAAGTTTGTTTTCTACGTGGCTTTGGTGCCATGTATCTTAAGAAAGTAATAAAAAAAAGTACATCAATATTTTTTGTAATCAAACTGGACAGAGTTAATGAATAGATTTAATCGCACAAATTTGGAAAGTTTTAAGAATTGATTGCACAATTTGAAAATTTTAAGACTCAATTGCATTTTCATTACAAATTTTAGAAATTTTAGTGCACCTATCCCATTAAGTTAAACACTAAAAGATTCCATTTTATTCATAGGTAGTTAGTTAAGGTAAAGCTCAAGATTATAACTCTTCATCAATTATTTATAACTTATTTGAATTGCGAGATAAATGAAAAAGTTGGAGCACAACAAACTAAACCTCATATCATAACAAATTAAGCGAGATTTTAGATTTAGTTATTTTAATTATTAATGCTAAATAATGTGAATACGCCATGTCTTAAGTAAGTTGTGAATTTTAGTATTTTTTATTCTATACGTGTATTGCAATTTTAAAATAAAGACTGATTTTACTATTATCTTGAACTAACAGGATTTATAATTCTATTTAATTTCTTGTAGTTAAAAACAGAAAATATTATGAAATGTACTAAATAAGTCGTAACTTATTGAAACTATATTTATTTTTTAATCACTGAATTGACCTACTTGAATAAATAAATTATGCTAACTTATTCAGCAAAAGAATATAAGTAAACTGTCACGGCCATAGCTCTTTATCAATTATTCAAACTTTATGTGAATTGGCAAATGAATGGAAAAAGTTGTGGCACACCAAACTAGCTCATGAACTTTATCCTTATCAATGTTTTTGAGAAACTTTAAGGTCAAATTACTGAATTTATGAATTTAGTTATTCAAATAATAAAAATAAATGAAATCTAAATACTCTATGTTTTAAATAACTTGTGATATTTAATATTATGTTAGATTTTAAAGATATATTGCAAGTCTAAAATGAATAATAAGTATACAGTAATCTCAAAGTAACGAGAAATGTAAATTTAACATGGAATTTTATTTTTTCTTTTATTCAATGAATTGAATTAATTTAATAGAATTAATTGTACATCAAAGTAGCAATTATTTATTTAGTAATAAAGTAAATCTTTGGTTAGTTTCAATTTATTCACTTTAAATTAAGTGAATTTTGATGAAATTTTCTATATTTTAAACACAATACTTTCTCTTTGGCTTTATTTTGAAATAAAAACTAAATAAGTTCAAAAAAGAATGACTTAATAAACTATATCATTTGATAAAATATATTTGAAGATTCTTATATTTTATTCAATTTGTGAAGTTTGAACTAAATAACATATGAAATACAGGGATGACAAATCAATAAACTAATGCTTATGGATGAAATGTGGACCAATCACAGAGACAAAGTGAAGTGCCGCGCAACGAGCAAACATTCTCTCGGTTTCGACTTTAATTATATAATATAATCTAACTTTTATTTGATGTGCAACTCTTGAAATCTTTCGAAACATATAAATAGTTACACTTGAAATAACATTGAATTATTTTCATAAACTGTTCAATATTCGAGACATTTGCTGGCTATCTTAAGATTTTAAAACGAAAAGTCATAAGTGCTTTAAAGAAAGTTACCACACAGAATACCGTTATGGATCTTGCTGACAAGTATGTTGAAATTAAAAGAGAAAAATACTTTCGCAACGCATTGAAAATCAGAGAATTATGCATTTTAAGAAATTCACTTGCTCAAAATAAATAAATAAAACATCATTATCTCCTAAACATATTAAATTAAGACTTGACTATTTAGTAAGTCCTTTTTTTAACGTTGTTGTTAGCCAATGTCCTAAAAGCCGTTAAGAGAGGGTCTAAAAAGTCCACGCATCCTAACCGTCATAAGCGGCAAATTTCCCTCTCTTCCACCTCTCTAGCTCGGAGAGATGCTGTTCACCGGTGGTTTAGTTTGGTACAAATGTCTGGCTTCAATTCCTCTCTCCCTCCCTCAAACTATCGCAATTCTCCTTCAGTTTCCATTTCCGAAGCTTCAACCTCTCTTCAAGCTTGCGATTCGGGTATGTTCGAGTCAAGTCTATGGTTTCATTAACCGAGTAAGCGCGAGCCTTTCGTTTCGGTTCTCATGCTTTGGGAATGTTCCATAGTTTTCGAATTGTAGTTTGGTGATCTGGAACTTGGTTTTGATCTCTGTTTCTCGCCGTGTGAGCACGGATGATGAATGATCGCGACATATGAAGAAGATGGTTCGCTTGTGTTAGTAGATGATGGGCAACGACTGAGGCGTGATTTGTTTGGCGGTTCCTGCCCCTGCAGCTAAACAGGAGGCGCATGGAAGCTGGTGAGAGATGGCGCCCAAGGTGAAGGAGGATGAGAAACTCGAGAGGACTGTTCGTGGTCTCTCGAAACTTCCCGAGAACCGAAGATGTATTAACTGCAACAGTTTGGTATGTTCTCTGTTTCTTTGTGATTCAGAAATTCGTCTCTGTCAAATTATGGTGAACACGGGAATATGTTTCCCAAGACAAAAAAGGAAATTGGTGTCATCATCCTGACCAGCATTGTCAAGTTCCACTGTTCCTTCATCAGAAGTCGGCAATGGATGAATTTGTTTATTGAGCTCAGCGGCCAACTAAATGTTATTCACCAGATAGTATCCATCCATTATTTTTTTCATATTTTTGGACTCGCATCAGCAGCGTCCATCATAATCTGGTATTATGTCAATCCGCTATACTGGTACTGAGACATTTGCTCTGTTACAGGGACCGCAATATGTTTGCACCACTTTTTGTACATTCATCTGCATGAACTGCAGTGGGATACAGTAAGTAGTTAGACTCATTTCTTATTGTATAGGCATTGATTTGTTTCAGTGTCAATTATATATGGTCTGGTACGTGGACTAGTCGATCCCGGCTTACTTTGGCACAGACTTGCCTATCTGGAGCCATAGCCAGCTTATTTTTGCTGATCAATGATATGTTCCGACATATTGCAGCCGTGAGTTCACGCACCGGGTAAAATCGATATCAATGGCTAAATTCACTCCTGAAGAAGTGAGCGCACTTCAAGCTGGAGGAAATGAGGTGGGGAATTGAGTATGCAGTCTCTTTCACAACTTGGTGATTTCATTGTACTTATTTACGTCTTGTTTCTCACTCGTGTCCTGGGACTTCGTTTTAAGCAAGCGAGGCAAATATATCTCAAAGAATGGGATCCTCAACGCCATTCTCATCCCGACAGCAGGTCTGCACACGCTTCTTGAATGTCACTTAGCAATTATAGAATGTAATATTGTCTGATACACGTATGTTCTTCCAGTAACCTTTATAAACTCCGGGATTTCATCAAGCACGTCTACGTAGATAGGAAATTTAGTGGTGAAAAAAGCGAGGAGAAGCTCCCGAGGCTGAGATTGGTGAGCTAACTAGTTATTCCTTGAACAAACCAAAGGTCTATGGTTTGCCTATGTTCTCTAATCTTATCTTGAGCATGTACAATGTAGTTTCGCTTATGAAGCTCCGTTGATTTTAATGTCCTATATGCATGCAGACCGACAAAGAAGAGTCCTACGGGGGCAGAAGTTCTAATGCATATCGGAGTGCATCTGGAAGCCCTAGTTATGAGGACAGATATGAAAGACCTCATAGTGGAAGGTCTAGTCCGAGTGGACGAAGCGATGATGGGATTTTAAAATATTGTTATGATGAAAGGAGAAGTCCGAGATATGCCCGAGAAATCTCGAGATACGGGGGTTATAGAAGGAGTCCTGTCCGTTTTGAGGTTGTTGATGACCGGTTTCGAGATGACGTGCTAGGAAGTGGCAGGCGATCTCAGGGTCAAAGGCTTTCAAATGAAGAATCAAGGCTGGGGAGCAGGTCACCCGATAATCAAAAGAACATGGATAAGTCCACTTCCACTGTAACTCGACCCGCAAAGGAGATTTTAAGGGACGATGGTCTTTCCCGCAGGGTAGGCGAAACAACAGAAAATTCTGATGGTTGTGCCAATGTCAAGGTATCCTGGTTGCTTTGTGAGTTCAATTTACACTTCCCTGTCACTTACAAGTAGCATTTGATTGTAAAGCTGGTATTTAAATGTAAACCTGCAACATATTCCTTCCTAGTTCCATGAATGCAACATGCTCGTAGGACTATGCAGTATCACATATATGGGACTTCAGGAATGGCACGATGAGATGATGGTGTATGATTAATGTCACCAATGAGACAATACAATTGCAGCACAGTTTTCCTTGTATTATTTAGCACCTTAAAGACCTTTCTGCATGATATGTTGAAGAAGATTCAGCAGGTTTCCATAAACTTAGACTATTATTGTTTGTGTCCCGGGAACTTTCATATTTACCCCTGCATGAACTTAATATGTGCTCTGATCTCTGAGGTATTTCTTATTGTAGAAGGTCCGTTCATTAAATAATTTGGGCAATACCGATGGCAGCGCAGCGGAAAGAAAAGAGGCCAAATCCCAAAGTCTGATTGAGTTTAGTACAGACGAAAAGCCTCCCGATGCTTCAGCTGAAACTCAGAGACAACAAATGCCTTCCTCCACTGATGGAGGTAACTGGGCGTTGTTCGCCCCGTCAGAAAAGGAGAAGGCACCATCAGCATCAAATGCAAATACCCTGGAGATGTTGTTGCTAGAATTAACACCGGCAACTGTAACTGTCGGTAATGTGTCTGAAGGACCCAGCGGCTATGATGCTCAGCCAACTGCATCTGTGAGCAACACTTCACCCACTGGCATAGCCTCTGATGTTCCTGCGGAACAAATGTCAGCACCAGCTGATGTTCCTACACAGCAAGCTTTGGTCTTGGCTGATGATCCTACTACATCAACTTCTGTTGCCACAACAGAACATATTAGTGAAGAGCCTTCCAAAGTCACACCTGAGAGCCATGTCGACTTGTTAGCGCAGTTGCCAAGCACTCAGCAGAATCAGCCTCCAGCATCCCCTTCTAAGGACGAGAGTTATGCGGTAGAAAAGAATGAACAATCGGTAATTCTAATACATGTTTGTCTGAAAAAAAGTTATGCAATTCTCCACCTCATACATCCTTGTCAACTTTGTCTTCCATTTTCTTGGTCACTCTGCAAGAGACAACCTTGGAAAATGCGAAGAAAATGACTGATTGTAGAAAATTTATTTCTTCTGGGTTCTTTTCATGTGATGCTTGTATCATAATGATTATTACTTGTGCGTATATGCAGCCTTTAACATCACTCCAGCTTAATGAGCAAGGACCTTCTTGCGATTCATCTCAAACTGGCAACGCAACTATCCAAGAGGCGAGCTCTGGATTGGCATCGCAGAACCTTCCCATTGAGCTGAACCCCAGCAGGAGAAAGGAACTTCCAGCTGTAAGTGAATTGAATCTGTTTTCTTAACCAAAAAGAAGTTGCAACAGCTATATTTTTTTGAAGGCACATATTCTTGCAGGAACTTTTCACTGCATTTTACCCTCCAGCACCAGCACCAATTCAAGGCTGGCAAACAGCTAGACCTCATGCCATGGGCTTCAACATGCAGTACTATCCTAACATTACGGTATCACCAGTTCTCAAGAAGAGTCAAAGTCTTTTACTCGACACTCACAGATTACTCAAATATTCTTTTCTAACCTTGTTTTCCAGCCTATGCCTGCATACCCGAGCTCTGCAAAATCAACAAACCCATTCGATATCGGTGATGGAACTGATCAACCTCAAGGGCCAGCGGTAGGCACAACTTTCTGAATAAACACTGCCTTCTGTGGTTTCCCTGTTGACCCTTGTGAACTTATGCCTTTTACAATTAGAATCTAAGTTGGATGAATTGGTTCGGCGGAGTGCTTCCAACAATGGGGAAATAATGAAATGACCAAAAGAGCGCTGCAACCTAATCATTTCAAAACTCTCGGCAGTTTTATGAGTTTTATAAACAACTTAAGTGGATGGACTGCCTGAACTGCGAGGATGGGAACATGTCACTCGTTTCCTAGTAAGCTATTGAGCTGCCCATCTGAAGTTCATAATACAGATCTGAGAATGCACTTATTCTCTAAAGCTCGGCATTTGGAACACACTATATTTAATGTAGTCTAGAGATCTGGACATTGTTACTAGTCCAGTATAGATAAAATCCTCCTAATTGACGGAATGACATCTGATATCTGAAATGTTCTTTTACCCATAATACTGAAATGCCCTTGCCAGGAGTTACAGTAGGAAAGTTTGAATATAAACACGAGAAATATGATTAATATCTAATATTTTTCTGCTTGTTACCATGAAGTTTCCTTCCATGGAACCTCTGCAAGGAGCACTGTCCATTGTCTCAGCTTCTTCTGGGTTTGCACATACTTCAAGCCAGGGTGCCCAAGCACCAGGAATGATGCCGCATCAGTCTCCATCACATGGATCCAATGCCGTCTCGCCGTTTCAGTCACCATTTCAGTCACCTTCTTATGGAGCCTTGCCGATGGGTAAAATGATTAGCATTATTTTTGCATAACTATTTAATTTAAATTGTTTTACCCTTCGCTGATGTTTAATTCCACCAGGTTTCCACATGGAGCAACAAGGGCAGGGTCATATGCCACCTTCAAGGTATATTTGACTGATGGCTATCTTAGGAAATTATCAGAATCTCATAAAGGGAATAAATAATCAATGTTAGGATGAATGGGTTTTGAATTTCACTTCTTGGGAACTTTAGGCCCTATACGTATCCCTATCGTCTTGCTCTTCTTTCAGCAGCATCAACCGGCAAGAGGCATTTTCAACTTACTTCCCCTCTGCAGTCTCTCTCGGCATGCTTATTTAGAACTTTCATCTAGCAGTTGCGTGATGACTGTTCTCATCGCTCTTGTTTAACATTGCAGAGCGCATGGCTTCGGTGGTTCTGGAACTGATTCGTCTCCTTTTAGTTCCTTCAACACTAATCAACAGATGGCAACAAGCTACTCGGAACCCACAGCCCCAAATTATTTTCCGTCTTTGGGGCAAGGAAACCCATTTGGGTAGATTAACAATAGATCGTTCACATGAATTCATACAGAGTCTTCTAATGTGCCGCTCTGCAACATCTTTGGAGGGGCTTCACCCTGCAGTCCCTAATTGAAGGTCAGTTGAAACTGACCGCGTAATCAAGACTGTCCACATGTATATGCTTTGCCAGGAACTCCACAACTAGATCGTGGTAAATGAGTTAAACCACACAGTACCAACCCATATGTCATTGAAAGTTCAATAGTTCATAATACAACTCTGTAAACTAATTTTAGCAATCATCTTATTGACCGTCCTTACAGGATGCTGCTTTGAGCTGTGACAAGAATTTGCTTTGCCAAATTAGAAACTGTAGCTCGTATTCTCAGTGATATGAAGGAGTAAGACCGTAAGCATCTTAAACTTTGGGAAACATTCGACTTAGTGAGGAAATTCCGTGCACGAATTCAACGATCCGATGATGCCCATGTGAGGAAAGGAAGCAAACTTTTTGCAAGCAAATGGAAACACGTAGTTCCCTTTTTCACTTTAATCAGCACAAAAGGGGAAAAAAAGGATGAGAAGGACAAAAAGAATATGCTAATGGAGAAGCACTGACAATTTGAAGCATTAAGGCTGCATACGGTGCAAGTGACAACTATGAATAATGCAATGCAAACCGGAAAAAGAAAATCAAGAAAAGCAAGCAAATGAAATCATAGTGAAAAGTCAAGTACAAGTTCATGAAACACACTCAAATCAAACACTTGAAAAATTAATACTTTAGTAATTTATTCGGGAATTGCAGTGCATGAGACGCAGCAAAGTGTTTCATGCAACCATGTCTTCTAGCACGAATTAACTCAAGGCGTTCCTTGCATCCATATCGTTGAGCAAGAATGAACACTACTCAAATTCCTCAACCTAAGCAGCACATGAACCAAAATCCCGCAAAGAAACCCGAGTGCCGCACTAGATCCAACGAGAGAAATCGCCGCGCAGATCAGCATCACAAAAGCTTCCTCCTTTGAATTCATGTCCCTAGCAGCCATGGCCAGCTCAATCCCTGCAAACAAAAGCAGGACACCAAGCACACCAACAGGGAACTGGTCCAACACCTTCACTATAGAACTCCCAAGGACCAAACCAAGAATCAATTTAGCAACGCCCAGGATAGCCACGCAGCCGCCGCTCCTGCCGCCAAACTTGTACTGCCCCGCCAGGCCGCCAGCGCCATGGCAGCAGGGCATGGCCCCAAACCAGCACCCGACCAGATTCATCAGCCCTACTGTGGCCGCTACCGACACGGCAGAGAAGTCCTTCTCAGGGAAGAGATCATACGACAGCTTGCACACCGCAATAACCGAATTCAATATCGTCAATGGGAGTTGGGGAATTGTGCCTCTAATGAATCCCTCTTTCCAAGCATGCCTTGAAATCTTCACAACTTCAATAGAGGAAGGACCAAATTTAATGTCCCTGACCACTTTAGGCTCTCTAATGAAGGCCAAGACAACGCCTAGCAGGAAGATAATGAAAGCTGATGGAAGAGCCGCCATGATTCTCTTCCATTTTTTCTTCTTACCTGAGCTTTGATTCTCGATATCATCACCCAATTCTTGGTTGTTTTGCCTCTCTTCATTCTCTTCACCAGCACCATTGATGATCACAATGAAACAAGCACAAACAATGGCCAACACCAGGCCATCCAACCCGAACCAGTGCCTATTCCCAGCCGCTTTCGACTTTGAAAAGTTCTGAACTTTCCGGATGTAATTCACAGCAGTCATCGCAAACGACAGCCCTTGCGAGAGCTGAATCCCCCTAACAACAGACAGAGGGATCAGCCTATAAACGAGCTGCATCAACCCGGTGATGCCCAGGAGGACCAAAATCGCGCCGGTGCAAATCCCAGCTGCCATGACCTCGGGGATGCCGAAATCAGCGCTCGATATCCCGGCCGCGGCGATTGCCTTCATGGGTTGCACCGGCATCGGAACACCGTATACAGCGCCAGTGACCATGTTGTACACACCGGTGAATATCAGGGTCGTGCCGAGGTTGAGGTCCTTGGCCAGCGTCATGGCCAGGACTATGGGGATGTACGTGCCTAAGTCGCCCATAGCTCCATTGATTTCACCCCATGTCGAGCGGATGGCCAAGTTGGTCATGAGCTTTTGGAACATGTTCGATGGTGACGGGAACTTGGGTGCCTGAGGATCATTGGTGCTCGAAGGGTCCTCCATGGCTTTGACTCGGTGCAGTACTGCGTAGCAGCATGCAAAGGGGAAGAGAGAACTCGATGCTCTCTTATAGATTGGGAGCTATCAAATAGATTGACAAGCGTATCCTTTTATCTCTAGGAGAGTACGTTGTCGGGGTGGCTATCTGCGTGCCGATGCTTGTGGTTACCGAACAGATCATAAAGAAGGAAACAGAATCACATGAGGTAATTAATTTTCATAGCTATCTTATTGGACAACTGCATTATTTCATGGACAGATGCGGTGGACAGAATCAATCATCGCGTAAAAACTATACTGTGATGGGAGTTTGTGTTTTATAAAGAATCAACAGATTCTTAAAATGCGATTGACTCGAGCTAATAGACTCGGTTTATGCAATACTTGCCTACGAGCTTATAATGCTTCAGACACGCGCTCGTCGCGAGCATTGGAAAAAGTGAAAAAAGAATCAGGAAATTTAAATAAATTTAGGGATTGAGATCGAACGGGTGTAGATCCAAGATGATGAGAATTAAAAGTTATATTGTGTGGGAAATTTAAAAGATATTCCTAAAAGTTCTCTTGATCCTTTTTTTTTAAATCATTTCCATTAGGCATAAACAAACATTAATGATGCCACATTGATAAGCATTGACGAATCTGACAAAAAAAAATGATAAGCATTGACGAAGAAAAAACAGGAATTGCGTCTTATCTTGGTGTAACATGCATAAAAAAAAAAGTTATTACGCTGTCTCTTTGCATAGCACGGGAGTTGAACCTCGCACCCGTGATATTAGCATTCCCACCCCCAATCCCTTATCACCAGACCGCATACCCAATAATCAGAGACATGGATAGCGACGGAAATAGGAGATCTAGTTTATGGAAATCTCATTAGGCTAATAAGTAAAATGACCCGTCTTTTTATTTATTTATTTATTTTGTCTTTTTATTGTTATATCGACAATTAGAAGAAATAATCCTAATAATAAATTATCTATCTGTTCAAATTACAAAAACAGTTTATTATTTCCACGGATGACATCCGAGATTTTATGTGCATCGTAATTATCACTAACTCAGTCCAATCTATGGGCTCTTGCTTAGTAGAAAACTTCCCTCCCATCAATTGTCAACCTCTTTGAAGTTCATTGTTGATGGTAACAAAGATATTGCCTCAGAAAATTCTTCGTTACATCACACTTTTGAGGTATGTATTTGCAATTGCAAGTAATCGTTCCGGTACATATGTGACTAGAAGCGGTTTTTGTATTTAATTTCCTGAGTGACCGAGAATTAAACGATGATCTGACAAGAAACTACATGCGTCGTGAAATGATTTAGGGCGCGGATAATAACCATTCTCTTTCTTTATTTTTCTATTTTTTTGTTTCCAAGAATAGGTTTGGAATAGAAATCCGTTTGGCGATGCAACTTCATTTTTCTATTACCGGGAACAATTTTTAGCCTAGACATAAGATTGGAACAGAAATGAAAACTATAAATTTTCCAATTTTTTGTTTCTGGAACAGAAACAGAAATAACAAGTCTTCTCATCGCTCGCCCTCGCCGCCCGTCAGCGCCGCTTGCCACCAGAAACATAAATTTAAGAAGGCCTATCAAACGAATTTTTGTTTCGAGAACGGAAATTTTATATCGTTATCAAAACGCTACTTTCTGTGCAAAAATTCATCCATGAAATAGAAATGGAAAAATATTTTTCTTTCCAGAAATTGTTCTCGGAAACAGAATGGTTATTATTCGCGCCCTTAATAGTGTGGCCTCAGGTCCCCCCCGCTCATTGATCAGGTCTAGACCAATCCAACAGTTATTATGCAACATGGATAAGCATATTCACAAGTAGTAGCCAGCAACTTTTGCGATGACCACCGCCTTACTTAGTGGCAATGACTGATCGCCGAGACGAAAATCGCATGATCATTTACTGCAGCTCGTAGAAATTACTTCTCGTTTTCTCTCTTAAAATTGTCAAAACGGGAAACAAGCATGCATACTTTCAAAAAAACAATAAAAAATAACTTCTATATGGCTATATATCTAATCCATGACCGCCTTAATTAGTCTCCGTTTATTTCGTGGTAAATTAATAATTTAGAAACTATTTTCTTAAAAATAATTTCTTGCATTACTTGAAATAATTAGTGAATGATTTTTTTTAAATTACCAATAACAATAGACCTAATGATTTTCGTGGGCAACAAAAATACTTTTCGTCCATTCATATTTGTAAGTGGTACCGGCAATCATTTTTAAGAAAATGTTCTCCAAATTATTTATTTTTCGTGAAATAAACCCACCCTTAATCTATAGTTAATTTAACATGTTTTTTTTCCCTTTTTGGCTAATTGAGAGGAAACCCACTCCGCATAGCCTATGCACTAAACAAAACTCTTATCAGCTTTGGGTATTCCATGTTATTTCACTTGCGCATCCTCTCGAGACCATCTCTAGGAGTACAGACTTATATGTTTACGTAATCACTGACGTGTGTAAATCTGATGAGGCGACTACCATAACTGATGGGTAGATTAACAACAATACAATGCTCACATGAATCCAGACAGTCCGCACGTATATGCTTTGCCAAGACAGTACCAACCCATATGTTCATTGACAAGTTCAAATAGTTTGTAATACTACTCTGTAAATTTGGCAATCCTCTTATCGACCGTCCTTGCAGGATGATGCTTTAAGCTGCGATGAGAATTTGCTTCGCCAAATTAGAAACTGTAGCTCGTATTCTCGGTGATATGAAGGAGCTAGATGATAAGCATCTTAAACTTGGTGAAACATTCGACTTAATGAGGAAATTCCGTGCATGAATTCAAAGATCCGATGATGCCCATGTGAGGAAAGGAAGCAAACTTCTTGCAAGCGAATGAAAAGATGTAGTTCTGGTTTTCACTTTAATCAGCACCAAAAAAGAAAGAAAGAAAGAAAGAAAGAAAGAAAGAAAGATTATGCTGATTGAGAAGCATTAATCTATCAAGCATTGGTTGTAATAGTGCTGGTCAACAAGTCAAAGGAGAAAAAAAAAGGGAAAAAAAATTGTTGAAAAGTTAAAGAAGTAGAAAGTTGATGTCTTCAGCTTATAAAAGGGACCGAGAGCACTAAAAGAAACAGGGAAAAGAGAAGGGCTCACCGAGAAGAGAGAGAGAGAGGGAAAGAAAGAAGGGGTACTCGCCACGGACGCCTCGCCTGGCCATTTCAACTTTGATTCGCAACGCCCGTAAGTGCTCGCGTCCTTTGTTCGTCCAATCCAAGTATTTTTCGGAATTAGGGCATAATATCAGAGTTTGGTGAAATTCAAGCGGCATAGTCCGATTTTTGAGTTGTCTAGTGGCGTATATATATAGAATTGGTAGTTTAGGGTGTCGTAGAACCGTGGGATTTTACAGAACTCGATTTGGACTTACAATTTGCCCGAAACGAAATTTTGAAGTTGAGCTTGCGTGGTGAACGGTGCGCGACCAGTAGCTTTCCATGCCGATTTTGTTGCTTTTTGGCCCGAGTTTGGGTTGGCCAAGCTGGGGATCTTATAGTTCTTTGAATGAGCTTTGTTTTGACTATAAGCTCGCTTGAAACGGGATTCGAAGGAAAGAGTTTTGGTGCAAACAAATTTTGCGCTCATGCTTCACGTTGTGGAACGTTTTGGATAATCGCTTTGGACAAGTGATTTGTGGAAGGCTTTAAGTTATTTCGTTAATGATTAAGCGTCATTTGGCCGTTTCGTAGCTATCGTAGTATTTTACTTGGTTTTGATGTCGATTCTTGTTTAATTGTTAAGATTACGAGATTGTCGGTTCAAGTGAGCGTTGTTTGGTTTTGGGACATTCTCAGGTGAGTGGTATTATTTCTTCCATGAATTTACAAACTCATGTCTTGAAAATGGTAGAATTTTAATATAGTATAAGTTATTAAGAGCATGTTTCTTATATAAATTGGATCGAACTTTTATTACATTTTTAGTCGATTGAAAAAGGATTGAGAATGTTTAATGAAGTGGTCTAAAATGACCAATTTTGAATGCTTTGGTTAAATGTTTAGTGAAAGGAATTTCCAAAAGTAGTTCGTATCAATTACGAAATGTTTTATGAAATGCATTTTAATTGATAAATGGAATTGTGAAAAGTTATGTGATTCGGTTTGTAAAACCGTTTCATGAAATAACTTTCTGGTGTTGATTGTGCATTGTTAGAGAAATGTTTTGGTTGATATGGCTCATATCGCTATGACGAAAACCCATTGAGGGAGGAATATGCATACTATCAGGACATCTTTCTGGGCCGAACCGCCGGCTATAGAGGTAGTAGACCTAGCCAAGAGGGTAAACTTGGTCGCCTTTGTCATGGCGTTAAATGTGACCATAGTTCGATGATGAGCATAAAATTAGTCAATGGAATGGACCATCGACGTATGATTGATGAGATTAATCGATGGAATGAACCATCGACGTGTGATTGATGAGATTGATATCATTTTATAACGATGCATAGTGATTATTCGATCCGCTTGGAAGAAATGTATTACTCACTGGCCCGTGGTAGCCCTTTCCTTTCGTCTTTCGTGTTTTTCAAATTTCTCGATTAGTGGTCGATAATTCGAGAGCACTTTTGATGGGGACTTTTGAAAGTTGATTCTTTTGGTAGGGTTTGAGGCTACGTCCTTCGTGAGGAAGGACGGCCGTGTCACTACCCCTATTCCCGTAGGATTTGGGGTGTGACATTGGAGCTGCATATGGTGAAAGTGACAACTATGAATAATACAAAGCGGAAAAAGAAAATCAAAGAAACAAGCAAATGAAATGATAGTGAAAAATTAAGTACAAGTTGATGAAACACGCTCAAATCAAACACTTGAAAGATTACTACTTGAGTACTTTATCCGCGAATTGCAGCGCATAAGACACAGCTAAGCGTTTAATGCATTCACATGTTTTAGCACGGATGAACTCAAGGAGTACCTTGCCTCCATATCATCGAGCAGGAACGAAAACTAGTCAAATTCCTCAACCTAAGTAGTACATGAACCGCGATCCCACAAAGAAACCCAAGCGCCGCACTCGATCCAACGAGAGAAACCGCCGTGCAGATCAGCATCACAAAAACCTCCTCCTTTGAATTTATGTCCCTGACAGCCATGGCCAGCTCAACTCCCGCAAACAAAAGCAGCACACCGAGCACACCAACTGGGAACTGGTCCAACA